TATTTGGCAGAGATACAAGTAAGTGTTCATCTAACCTTCATCCAATTTCCTCAGATTTTGGCATCTGAGCCAACCATTTAGCATACCTTTATCAAAATTAAGAAACTCATGTTGCCACAATACTATTAACTAGACTACAGCTATTACTCAAAATGCACCAGTTTTTACATCAGTCTGCTTTATTTATCTGGAGATCCTAAACCGATATTCTCCATTATAGGTAATCATGATGCCTTCTTCATTTCTGTGACAGTTTCTTACTCCTTTTGTTTTTCACTGTTTTGCTCTTGATGTTGCGAAGAGTATTGGTCATGTTTTGCAAAATGTCTTTTGAAAGAAAAACCTCTGAAACGCCTCTGTCACTGAAAACCCTTTGAACACAGTACAGTTGTGACACATATGAGATCTCCATGAGTCAGAATTGACTGGATAGCATCCTGTTCTATCTTAACTTGCAGTGGCATCAGGTAGACTCATTAACTACCTATGTTATGCAGAAGACACAACTTTGGTTGTTGAAAGTGAGGAGGACCTGAGGTGCTTGCTGCAGAGGATCAAGGACTGCAGCTTTCAATATAGATTGCATCTCAACCTCAAGAAAACAAAAATCTTCACTACTGGGCCAATGGGCAACATCATAATAGATAGGGAAATGATGGAAGTTGTCAACAATCTCATCTTATTGGATCCACAGTTAGTAGGAGCAGACTGCTTCACTGTGCAGCTTACAAATTCCAACTCCTTCCTTTTGAGTTAGCTGCCCAGTATTAACCTAACCACAAAGCTTCTTATCTGAAGAGAGAGAGGAAAAACTATCAAGCATTGGGGCAGGGAGTGAGTGTGGTTTGGATTAGGTTTACATACATCTTGGTGGCATCATCCTCCAACATTATTGTAAAATTGTAAAAAGTGGAGAATATTTTGGTCAAAGAACTCTGAAGGTGAGATGAAGCAGAGGGTTCCTTCTAACGACTGGGTTTTATCTAAACTAGTACAAGCAAATGTAGGTTGCAGTTTTGCAAGGTCTGAAAATGCTCAAAGCAGTTCAAAGCAGCAAGTTCAAAGGAGCTAAAGTCTTTGTCTGAGTTTATTTCTAAAACAATTGAATTTGTACAGATTTGAGTTTGGTCCCAAAGGCCTTTTGGGGGCTAACTAATCTCAGATTGCTATGCAGAAGTAAACAACCTGGGGCCAATTTATTCAACACTATACATGCTAGAGCAACTGCAGCAAGATCAGTGCCTTGTAAGCAAATACTATAATCTTTCTGACACAGTGTTTTTTAAAACTTTTATTTTATATCTGTTTTCATTCAAAATTCATAAAAACTGTATTTTTTTTCTTCACATTGTGTTTCATACAATCATTCTCATACATCGTGTCTTACAAACTTAATCCCTATTGAAAGATACCCACCATTAGCTCATCTTTTCAGGTCCCTGCTAGGATCGTTTCCATTTCCTAACCACCCGCCTCCCCCCCCCAAATTATGCAACTCTGTGATATTCCCCTTGCCCACCATTACCCCTCTTTTTCCACCCTTTGCCCCATTGGGCTCCCATACATGTTTTGGTTTGTTTTTGTTGTTTTTTTTTACAATAATTTTAATGAAAGTTTACAGAAACTTAGGGTTTCCAATCATTCATTGTTGCACTTTTCTCCCTGCCCAGCCCCTCACCCCCAATTCACTCTTCTCTTTGAAAAGTAAAACTCTCATTGTTATGCAATCCCTCCCCGCAAGTCCACACCACTGTACAGTCTTCATTCTGGACTCCTGTCATGTTTTATTAGTTATCCTTCTATTTTTGCAATAATGATTTTATGTGGTATTTGTCCTGATGAGACTGAGTTCACTCAGCATAATGCTCTCCAGTCTCTCCCAAATTATGTAGTATATTTAAAAATTGTAGCTCTTGAGTGCTGTGTAGTATTCCATTGTGTGAATATACCACAATTTCTCAATTCATTCAATTGTGGTTAGATATTTGAGCTGTTTCCACGTTCTTGCGATTGTGAATAACACTGCTATGTACATTGGTGTATAAATTTCCATTTGTGTCTCAGTTCTAATTTCCTTGAGGTGTATTACTAGCAGTGGAATAATTGGGTCATATAGAATTTCTATGTTCAGCTTTTTGAGGAAATATCTAAAGCAGTGTTTTTATAGTGAGGAAAAGAAAAATAATACAAACCTCCTATCCATTCAGGCCAGATGGTGCGGCCAAAGTAGTTTATGTTGTTGTTGTTATGTGCTGTCAAGTTGCTTGTGACTCATAGCGACCCTATACACAACAGCCCTAAACTCTGCTCTGTCCTGTGCCAATAGCACTGTCTGCAATACACCCATCCCAATTACCCCAGTCACTGAATCAATCCACCTCATAGAGGGTCTTCCCCTCCTGCGCTGTCCCTCCAGCATGATGTCCCTCTCCAAGGACCGGTCCCTCCTTACAATATGTCCAAAGTATGTTAGAGGAGCCTCAGGGAACCACCCAGTTTAACCCTTTGCAGGATGAATCTGTTTTCCTAGCACTCCATGGTACCCTCAATACTCTTCTCCAGCAACACAGCTCAAAGGCATCAATTCTCCTTCTATCCTCCTTAGTCACTGTCCAACTCTCTGATGCATAACAAGTGATAGCAAAGACCATGGCCTGTATCAGACGCACCTTAGTCTCCAGAGAAACACCATTGCTCTTCAGTACTTTGGAGAGGTCCCTAACAGCAGGCTTTCTCATTGCAATATGTCTTTTAATTTCCTGGCTACTGGTGCCGAGAGTGTTGACTGTGGAGCCAAGCAAACTAAAGCTGTCCGATTTTCAGAATGTTAGGATTTTCAATTGTGAATAAGGGATTGTGGGAACCAGGCAAGTGATTTAGGTTAAAATAATCACCAGTGATGCAAGATATGATATAATTAATAGAATTAATGTCTTATTGTTGTGGCTGGTATTTTTCAGTCTTTTGTTGAATGTTAAATGATCTTGTGCAAAGTTTCCCTGATCAAGTATGATTGTGTTTTTCTGGTGATTAATCGTTCCTCATGGCATGCCCAGGGAGCTGGGTGAGCCTAGCCCATAGAGAGTTGCATTACTAACCTAACGGCCCATCTCTCTGGTGATTTAGAGTCTACCAACAGCTTCAAAGAATAAAAATGGGCAGTGCCCTCCTGGGCTATTAACAGTTTTAGAAACCCTGCAAAGGGTCAGATACGAGTTGATTCTGACTTTATAGCAATGAGTTTGAGTGAGAGAACATACCCCAAATCAGCAAGACAAAATCTCCTCCTCTTCACTTCCACAGAGTATTCTTATTTATTCTAAGATTCAGTTGTTCATTCTTCTGGCTATTAGTGGTATATATTGGTATGTATTCGTTGATGACACAACTTCACTGCATCAACTGTTCTTTTCTCTTCTTTTTTAATTGGCTAATTTTCACAGCATATGGAGTAATTAAAAAGACCGTAGCATGGGTTCAGACACATTTATTTTATCATCACACATTTTATCATATATTCTTTTTAAAATCTTACCAGTTATTTTTTGCTGTATATTTTCCCTGGGTAGCTTGATTTCTTAAATAGAGCAGGAGTCAAGGCTACTTACTGGACAAGGCAGATGTATTATTCATAGGGTTACTATGAGTCATACTTGACTCAATGGCACCTAACCACAAAAACAACGACAATATCTTAGAATCCAGAAACCCTATCTACTTGCACAAATAACATATTTAGGAGGATTTTTTATACTTTTGTATAATGTAACGTTGTTGTTGTTTCTATATGCCATCAAGGCAACAGTGATTCATAGTGACCCTATGTAAAATAGCTCTGAACTCTGCTCTGTCCTTAGCCAATCTCACTGTTTCTGGCACACTCACCCTCACTACACCAGTTATTGTGTCAGTTCTTCTCATTTGGGGTCATCCTCTCCTGCACTGTCCCTACCAAGAATGATATCCTTCTCCATAATGTCAAACGTGTGAAATTGGGAAGAAAGTTCTCTAGTGGGTTTGAATTATTAATCATATCATAAAATCACTAAATAATAGCCTAATAACTTAACAGATTGGTGTAGTTTACTAAGATGTATCCCTTTCAGGAAATTTTTTTATCATTATAATCTAGGTCCTGGGAGTATAAGAATTAAAATAACTAAAGGGTAATTTAGGTGTACTGAAATAGAAGAAGCAGGAAACATGTATTCAAAGTATCTTCAAATGAGAAAAAAATCACATTATTTTTTAAAGACAAATTACACAGAGAAATAGATATGTTGATAAATGAACAGATGAATGCAGTCATAAGCAGGTTAAACAGTCAGAGAGACAGATAAACTGATGTTAAGAAACAAAGTAACCGCTCATAGGAAAGAGTTGTTGATTGCCTTCCAGTCTAGCACAATTCATAGTGACCCTATGAACAAAAGGCCTGAAGCCCCTCTACAACTATCGACATTTACCAAAGTTCATAGAGTTTCCAGAGGCATGTTGTTTAAGACGTGGATGCCACTCCTGCTTCCAAACCTGCCATAGTATGTTATTGGTGAGTCGCCTGCTATGCATAGTGAAACTATGTGCAGCAGCTCTGAACCCTTCCCTATCCTGAGCCAGTCTCATTAATTCTGACATACCAACACCCATTGCCCCAGTTACTGTATCAATCCATCTCATTCTGGGTCTCCCGATCTCCTGTGCTCTCCATCCACCCTTCCGAGCATGATAAGTACAATTGTTAAATATTTGGGACATTGCATCAATTATGTCTTAGTCTAGTGACAATTATTAATATAACTCAGTCAGTAACATAATACTAAAGAGTCTCAAAGGTGTGAAGTTATTGGTTTACAACCTTGTACTGAGTCTGAGATAGGATGAGAATTCAAATTCTGTTTATTTGACTCCAATGTCTATCATTTTCCTGTTGTTCACATATCATAGGTTTTGTTCCACCCAATAAACCATATCTTATCGATCTTTTGTGTTTTGTTCAATAGCTCACCATTTATGTCCAGCCAGAGCAAAGGCACACAGCTGAGTATGCTTCAGCCATAACGAAAAGTGTGTTTGATTATTTTGAAGAATACTTTGCAATGGAATACTCTCTTCCTAAATTAGGTGAGAATCATGTTTAATTTTCTTATTTTTATTATAATCTTTGTTTTTACTTTTACATAATCATTGTTAAATGACCAGCTCAATGTTGATAAAAGATCTGGCTGGTTGTTTCTTCATTGCTTAGAGAATGATGCCTGTACTCTGTTCTGATGAAATAAATGGGTAGTCCTCTATTTCTAAATAAAGATTAATGACTGAGCACAAAACTAAAGATCTTAATAATGATGGTGCCAGAAGAGCTACTTATCAGTTGATTTCAGAACCAGTGTCCTTAAAAACAAAAGAAAGTCACTGCCCTTCCTAATAGCTCACATTGCTTCCCTAATATCAATGGTTTGGAAAAGAATAGGAATAAATGATAAAGAGTCTCAAGTGATTGCTGTCTGCATTGTTTAACAAGACTATCTAAAGTCTCCAGCAGTTAAAATGAAATACCAGTGCTCCTTCCAGAAATATTTTTTAAAAGTCAACCTGTATGTGAAACAATATGAATATGATAACTCTACCAATAGTGGAAGTGTTATATTACTGTAACGTGTATTGTAATATATTTTATTATAGTGACTTAGCATATCATTTTATCACTAATAAATACATCTATTGGGATGAAATATAGGCAGGAATAAAATTAACAATAAACTGCCCTATTATTGGTCTTTAATAATTACCTACACAAAGCTACATTTGGAATGCCATGTACTTAGCATGAAAACAGCTGTGATTCCGAACAAATTTTCAGATGTGGTTTTTTTCTCCAATTACAGCAGCTCTTTATTATTCTTTTGTTTTTTAATTTTTTTCATTTGCTTAACAACTATTATTGGAGATTGGAAGAGAAGCCAACTTTGTCATCAAAATCAGAAAAATATTTCATATAATATTAAGCATAAACTAAAACTTGCAACAGTTGTGTGAACTCTGACACAGAAGAGAAGCCCACAGAATGTTTCTGGACCTGCAGATCTGTACAGGAGAAGACTGCCTTTCTCCAAGAGCAACTGTTGGATTCAAACTGCTAAACTTTGGTTTAGCAGCATGACATGTAACACACTACACCACCAGAGTTCCTAAGCATACTAGCCTTAAAGTCCTCCCCTCTTTTATTTCACTTGTACTATCTAGCTTTTTTGCCAAATTAGGGATCTCTCACAAATTGAATTCTCTCTTCCTCTCTTTTCTCCTCCTCTGCCCCTCCTCTAGTTCCTTTGTCTTTATAGCTTCTCTACATTTTTAACCCCAGCAGAGTTGACGGACGACCTATTTTAGGGTTGTCTTAGAAAGAGCACATTTTTATACTCGAAAAAAATTTAAAACTCTTGAGCTAATTCATTATAATACAATACTCAACAGATACTTGGGCTATAAAAATTTTTTTTGCTTAAGGATTATGTACAATTTGCATTGAATCTTGAGAGGATATTCGTCCACCTTGTAAGCAATATTCTTGTGACAAAGTAATAAAACCTAATAACAAAGATAGCATAAAAGGGAAACTACTGCTGCAATCTTAACCTTTTTAAAAAAAGATAGACATTTTTACTATTTTATGAAATGTGTTAAGGACCTTTCTTATAACCAGAAAGAAGAAACTTTGCCTTATATGGTAAATAAAAATGATACTCACTTTTGTTTAAATGCCTCATTTAAACCATATATAGTAAAAGAGAAATTACATATTTTACTGTCTTTCATGAACTGAAGGGGCTATATTTTGTCTGCTAGCAAGTTGAGTGTTAGAATTTAGCACAGAGTTGATCTGCTCAGCTTCTTCTTGCCAGCATTGTTCCTGATAGTGTAGATTCCAAGGAGCTTTGATGGCATTGAGTGTAGTGTGCTGAACTGCTCTCTCAAAAGATATCAGCCATTGGAATCCATCAGTGTCTCCAAGGGAGCCTCCAGTTAAGATTTACAACCTTAACATCCTGATGGACGGTCCTCTTGATGATATTGTGGTTAAATGTCATAGAGTGGAAACCAGCTCATACCTGACCCTGTAAAGGGTTTTCAGAGGCTGTCAATCACACAGAAGGAGTGGTTTCTCTAGGAAAGAAATCTCACTTTCTACCTAGGAAAGGCTGGTGGATTCGAACCACCTACCTTTGGGTTGCAGTTCTCCTTGCCCCAAAGTCACCAGTTGGTTTATTATAGGCCTCAGCAAAAATAAGGGTAAGTCCTTATAGAACACAAGAATTGAGATGTAGATGAAGATTTAGAAAAAAACATATAGTCCGTTCCCTAGTCTTCAGTTTCTTTAATATATATGTAAACAGGTGGTAAACTACTAGACTGATAAAGAATAAGATTGGTCTCAGATTGTATAGAATTAGGAGAAAATGGAGGTTTTTTTGTTTTTTTAAAAAGAATTCTTTTTCTTTTATATTGGTTTGCATACAAAATCTGTATACTTTGTGTTTCATTTATATACACTGAGCTTCACACATTCCTCTATTCACATTGTGTCTCACACAATCATTCCCATAAATTGCATTTTCTAATTTAATCACCATTGATCTATGCTCAGCATTATCCTGTCTTCAGGACTCAACTGGAGCTTTTCTAATTCCTTCACCCTTCCTCTGCCCACCAAACTCTGCCACCTTGTGATCCCTTCCGCCCCCCCCCCCCCCCCCCACCCCCGAGTTTCCCTGTACACTTCCCTTCCTCTCTTTGGACTTTCATACACATTGCTAGTTGTTGTGTAGGAAATGGAGTTTTTATAGTATCTAAATACTTTGTCCATTAGATAAAAATCCATTTTATACTCTTAGAAGCTTTTGTTCTTCCAGTTCCTCATTTGACAATTGTTCTCTGGTAAAATAGTTCATAAATATTGTGCTGCTAACTCAAAGGCAGGTGCTCTCTTCTAGTTCAAAACCACAGTTGTTCTACAAGGGAAAGATGAAATCTCCTTATGTGCAATTTACCCTCTGAAAACTTACTAGTGGTCAGCTATAAGCCGGTTCTAACTTGACAGCACTGAGAGATGAATATTCCCCAAAGTTCTGTGTTACCTAAGTGAAAATCATTGGGTAAAGAATAAAATACAGAGAAGAGCAAAAGAGAGAGGAAAAAAAAGATGGAAGCCGTGAGAAGCTTTGATATCTGTCCCTTCTTAAGAAAAGGAGGAAAGGCACACTGTTATCTGGAGCTAACAGAAAGGCTCCATGGAAATTTTGGTGCATTAGGACTCACAGTTTGCACAAATAGATTACTGTTTTTCACTCTAAGAAATTATTTTTAGCCTTTTCAAAAACATTCATCCAAAGAACTTAATTTGGTAAGAGATGTTTTGAACAAATGGAAAGAATGCATTTCTCACTGGACTCTTTCCTTTCCCCCTCTGCCCCGCCCCCCAATAGATAAAATCGCTATTCCAGATTTTGGCACTGGTGCTATGGAGAACTGGGGCCTCATCACTTACAGGGAGACCAATCTGCTTTACGACCCCCAAGAGTCAGCTTCATCAAACCAACAGAGAGTGGCCAGTGTGATCGCCCATGAACTTGTGCATCAGGTAAAAGATCTTGGGCATCACGTCCATTTGTTCTATAAAAAAATGAATAAAGACTGTTGGGATATTTCAATTATCCCAACTGAATTGCAATTTCTCAAATTAAAAAAAAAAACACAAACCCTCAGAAAACTCTACAAGAATGTTTTTCATACTGCTAATAAACAAACATGTCATCATCAGCTTTGAAAACATATTTTTTACCTCCAAGGAAGACCTTTTTATAATTTTACATATTTCCAATAGTACCTCAGAGTTGAGGAATGCACAGGATAGGACAAGGTTTAGAGTTGTTTTTCGTAAGGTCACTAGGAGCTGTACTGTCTCCAGAGCATCTAACAACAACAATAATATGTAAATAAAGGCAATAAATTAAGGGAGAACTTGAGGTCATTAACAATCAAGAGAATGAAGCGGGAAATAAATGACGGTTCTAAGCGACCCAGTGTACAGAGACAAATGTTTGAAGTTTTCTAGGCTTCTCTATTTGCCACAAGCCTAAAAATTTAATTGTCTTTTGATTTGCTTCTATTTTCAGTGGTTTGGAAATATTGTAACCATGGACTGGTGGGAAGACTTGTGGCTAAATGAAGGATTTGCTTCCTTCTTCGAGTACGTGGGAGTAGACCACGCACAAGAAGACTGGCAAATGGTAAGCCTCGACACACAAGCCCTGGGGGTTCTATTTCCCTCACGCAGTGTAGTTTGGAGCCTTTCCATTGTGACCACGGCCTTCAATCAAGGAATCCAGTATAGTGGTGACATGACATTTCATTATGAAGATAGAGAGCTCTGGTGAAAGTGGCACTTCTCTGGTGGTTCAAAAAACCCAGCAGCTCTGAAGGAGGAAAAATATGAACCCTTTGCAATTTACAGTCTCAGAACACCCATGGAAGGATCAGCTTTGAGTAAATCCCAACTCTGTGGCAATGAGGTTTGTTGTTGGATTTTGGGTTTAGATTTTTTTTTTTGTTTAAATAGCATGAAGAAGTATGTAAGGAAAAACCTGGCTGCTGAGTAATTATACTTTGTGTAAAGCCTATGCTCAGACCCCAGAGAAGAAATGGGCTCTACAATCTGGGGATGCCTTTGACAGAGTCACTCAAGAATGTGAGAGAGAGTGGGAAGATAGAGAGGGAGAAATAAACCTAAAAACATCCTAGCTTAGAAAATGCTAACTTTGTGTTAAAGAAAATAAATGCTCATTGAAAAATGCCCTAATCTCACTTTGTAAACTTGCTATTTTAAGTCACTAAAATTGTATGGTGAAGGGATAAGAGTATAAAGCTTAGCATATTTCCTGCATTTAAGAAATTCCCATTTTGGAGTCTGGTCAGGGGAAGAATTATATAAATCAAGCTGCATTGTAAGAAAGTTTAATACTAGTACCACAGGGGTATCACATGTAATAAATATTTCATTTTATAGGTAAAAATTCTTAGCACTGAAGAGGTAATACAATACTCTCAATGTCACACAGATAGTTGATAGAAAAACCAAGAGGAGGGTCAAGTGTCTTATCATCAAGAAAAGAATTCTTTCTACTGACCTAAATTTTTAAAACTAAATACAAGTCCAATTATTTGACTGGCAGAGATCATTGAATACATGACTTTCTAGATATGTGACAGGGCATGTTATGTAGGTCAAGTGCAATAACCACTTTAAATAGAATTTCTTTTCTATAAAAAAGAATACTGCTCTCTCTGCCTTATAAGGTTAAAGGCTTCCAAGATGTGCTTTTTGTTGCTGTTGTGTACCTTTGAGTCAGAACTGACTCATAGCTGCTCCTTCTGCAGGTTTTCAGAGACAGTTAATCACAGAGAAGGAAATTGCCCAGCCTTCTCCTGCAGAGCAGCTGCTGGATTTGAACCACTTTCCTTCAAGATTGCAGCACAGATTCTTACCATTCGCATCCAAAATTTACCTATAACTATTTATTTTTAATGTGCCCATGAGAGGCTTAGAAGTGAAGGCTTCAAGCTTACCGAAACACTGCAGAATTTTTTTCAGACAAACTAGGCCTGTTTCTTTATTTATATGCTTTTATATATGAGTATATGGCTACAGTCAACCCATTTGGTACCAGCAGTTAGGATATCAGGAGGTGTATTACATTGGGAAAGTCCGCGGTCAGGGACACCTCCAAATTACTAAGGAACAACAGTGTCAGTTTGAAGACTAAGGTGTGCCTGATTCAGTTTTTCAGTAACTTCCTATGCATCTAAGAGTTGAACAATGAATAAGGATGACAGAAGAAGAATTGATTCCTTTGAGTTGTGATGGTGGAAAGAATACTGAATATCCCATGGATTGCCAAAAGAGCAAACAGATATGTCTTAGAGTATGTGCAGCCAGAGTGCTCCCTGGAGCAAGGATGATAAAGCTTTGTCTTATATACTTCGGGCTTATTTCTAGGAGATGGACATCATTCTTGGAAAGGTGGAGGATCAGAGAAAGAAAGGAAGACCCTCAACAAGATGGATTGACACAGTGATTGCTGCCATAGGATCGAATATGTCAGAGATGATGAGGATGGCGCAGGATAAGACAGGGTTCAGATCTTTTGGTCATAGGGTTGCTATGAGTCGTAATAGACTCCATGACTCCTAACAAGTAGTGTTAAGAGGCTGTGCTGCAATCCCAAAGGCATGTGGTTCTAATCTATCAGCTCCTGCGCAGAAGGAGGATGGGCAATCTCCTTCTACGTAATTTACTGCCTCTGAAACTCACTGGAGGGTCAGCTATGAGTCAATTGTGACTTGAAGGCACACAATAATATAGATAAGGAGAATTGAGCAGATTACTGCCCTCTACTGGTACAGAATGAAAAGACAATATTTATTGCTTTAAGTCTCATATTTCCATAAGGTTAAGCCATAAATTTCCTTAACTTGTTAAAAAAGGTGAAAAAAACTGTTATATGATGATGACTTTTTAAAATACTTTTTGTAACTTTTTAAAATACTTTATTTATATAACACTCCTAAATCATAGAACCTTTGAAATTTTGAATCAGAGTAAAAATAGCAAGGACCATGTAGGGGGAGCCATATCTGACTTTTACCAATTTCACAAAGGGGAACTGTCCCTGTCAACAGCATCCATAACACAAAACCACTTCCTATGAGGTCAGACATGTCTGTTCCCCCACCCCCCCCCACCGCCCCATATTTCTTTTTACTCATCTCAACACCAGTCTTACTGCTTTGCTGGGTTTGAAATCTGATGCAGTAGTTCACAGACCACACAAAACCATGTAAGAGGAATCAAACATTTATAGTCCAGGTTAGTATAAAAATAAAGACAGCTCCCTAAATGTGCACACAGCACCTCAGTCTCTAGCCTTCAAACTTTAGGCCAGTGTTCTCAAGTACCCAGTCCTGTTAATATTGGCTTCCCAACCCTAGTTGTCCAGCAAAATCCTCAGCCTTGCCAATATTAGCTCTGCACACACCCCGACCCCAAGGTCCCATCTCACATCAAGTATCCAGTTCTGCCATGATGATTGCTGCTGTCAGTGCAGCTAGATCAAGAAGGGCATCCTATGTGCTCTTGGTTCTTCTTCATTGGAGGGGGATAATCTATCTGTCTCTAGCTGCTCACTTGCTCAATTCAGTGGTGAGACTAGCCAATTTCCTTGTGGAATGGTAGATGGCCAGTCCCCTTGTGGATAGGCTATCATGTCCCATTCACATATCCCCGCCCATTTACAGAGCAAAATCAAACAATGGCTAGGAAAAGTCATATGGAAAGATCAACTCCAGAACCAGGTAATGTTTTTGATATGTTGTCAGATATTTGGCAGCACCCCAACTCTGTTCACAGGATTCTGATAACACCTCTATTCTAAGTGTTTTCACAAACAGAAGACCTTCACATTTCCAGCTGTTCCCTAAGTCTCAAAATCCCTCAAAGTTGAAAAATGCTAATATACACTGACATTTTCTAATTTCATTATTTATTTATGTATTTTTGTCTATTCTCTATTCTTAAGGAGCTATGGTGAAATAGTAGATTAAACAGAAACATTGGCAGTTTTAGACCACTAGCTTCAACAAAGAGGCAAAGATGATGAGACTTCACCTCACATACTTCAGGCATGTTCTAGGAGGAGCTATTCCTTCGAGAGCATCATGATCTTCAGAAAGGTAGAGTGTTAGTGAAGGCTAGGAAGACCCTTGACTAGGCGGATTGACATAGTGACTGCTCCAATGGACTCAAATGTGTTAGGAAGTGTGAGGACGGCACAGAATAGGACAAGGTTCAGCTCTGTTTTTCACAGAGTAACTATGGGTCTTGACTCGATGACACCTAATGACAACAGTTCTAAGAGTAAGATGGTGCAGTCTGCTAACACGTTTCAACTCTGTCTAGAAAGTCACTATGAGTAAGAATCAACTCCAAATCTCTTGAAGTAGCATGTAGCAGCCCATCTATATAAAAATTCCCTGATTACCAGTCTTAACAATTTTAATATTTTCAATACTTTTTCAATATTTAAAACACTTATTAGATTTGATACCAAATTGGTATGCAGTTCTTAATGTAAATTTTAATCACACACCTTAACAGTCATTCATCAGTCAGTCATCAAGTACTAAAGAGCAAACAGAAATGAGTAACACATTTCTTCCCCTTAAAAAACATAGCATTAGAGGCAATCTCTGAGAAGGATCTCACCTGCTTTCTCCCAGATCTGTAATAAAATGTTTATGGATATTGAAAAAAGAAGAAGTATAGCATTGACTCATGACAGGCAACCAGATTGGTTGCTGGCTTTGTGTATTCTAGACCAGTCATTTAGAGGGAAAGTTAGAAAGTTAGAGGGTGATCCATATGGAAGACAATGGAATCACTGAGTATAGATTAGACAATGAAAATATATTATTGGGTTGGAAGCCTAGTGGTTTTTCAAACCATTTGAAAAAGTAGTTTATATACACCATTTCCCTGATTTTTTATCATATGGACGATATATAGTTTAAAGTATATGCTGTTGTTATTGGTATGTGCTGTTGAGTCAGCACCAACTCATAACTGATCCTCCAGCAGGTTTTCAGAGGCAGTAAATCTCATGGAAGGAGGCAACCTATCTTTTTTCCCATGGAGCAGCTGGTGGATTTGAACTGTGTGCCTCTGAGTGACAGGGCAACTCCTTACCACTGAGTCACTAGTGCTCCCTATAAAGTATATTTTGTTGTTCTGAGTACTGTCAAGTAAGAACAAATCCACAGCTGACCCTCCAGCAGGTTTTCAGAGGCAGTTAATTGAATAGGAGATTATTCATTCTTCTCCCTTATAAAAGTATATAGTATAAAAAATATAAAGCTATTGCAGTATAAAAAAGCTATAGTTGTTTCATTCTGCCCTTTTAGCTGGATCAGATGCTACTTGAAGATGTGCTACCTGTTCAAGAAGATGATTCTTTGATGTCTTCACATCCAATTGTTGTCACTGTGAACACCCCTGCTGAAATAACATCCGTGTTCGATGGAATATCCTATAGCAAGGTGGGAACAATATTACATTGCTTTCAGTTTCTTCCTGTTTACTATTTATTGTTGGTTTTTAGGCGCCTTCAAATCTGCTCTCACTCACAGCAGAAAGAAATCTTGCCCATTTCTGTGGTATCCGCACAATTCGGCTCTCACTGTGTCAACTTACTCATTGAAGCTCTTCTTATTCTAGAACACTCTTGCCTTTCTAAGTCCTTTTCTGGAGACTCAACTGTCCTGCTAACATGCTCACAGTATATGAGATGAAGTCTCATCTATTTTTCTGCTTGTAAACGAGCACTGTTTGTCTGTTGTGCTGTTCTTTTAGAAGTTCAAATACTGCATAACACTGCTGCCATAAAACACGACTGACATGGAGGTTGGGAGGAGAAAATAAAAGAATGGATAAGTAGTGAACACTGCATTGGAATAGATGAGGGGAAGAATTGTCTGAAAGGAATATATGATTAGACATTTATATGTATGACAACAATGTATGGAACAAGAGGTGCATTGCAAAGTGGATTGGGGAAGAGGGAATAAAAGGGGAGGGAGGGAAATGTGCAACAATTAATGAATTTAAAAGAATAAAAAGACGTCAATAATATATTCAGTACTCTTAGTCACAAGGCATCAGTTCTTTCTTCTTTACTCTAACTTAATACATGCAAATGAAGCAACTGAAAAAACCTTGATTAACAATTAGACTTTGAGCATCAACTTTAGAATTCTGTTCTTTAATCTATTGGTAAATCATAAATTTACCAAACCTTTGTTTGGTCCCTTTTTAAATAGAATCATTGTATCCCCAATAAGCTTTTAAGGAGCTCTGGCAGCGTAGTCTGTAGAGAGTTTAGCTATTAGAAGAAGAAACAAACAGTCAAAAAGAAATAAATTAAATATACCTGGGAGAAAGTGCAATCAAAGTGCTTTCTGGAGGCAAGGACAGTGAAACGTCTTCTCACATAGCTTTGGGCATGTTATTTGGAGAGTCCAGCCCTTGGAAAAGATCATCATGCCTGCAAAGGTGGAGGGTCAGTGAAAGAAATGAAGACTCTCAGTGAGATAGCTTGACACAGATCAACAATGGGCTCAAGTTATAGCAGAGTGATGAGAACGGCACAGGGTAGGGAAAGGTTCAGATCCATTTTTCAAGTATTACTTTGAATTGCAGTCCAGTGGAAACACCTAACAACAACGCTGATGGACTAGATGTAATGCAGAGAAAACTCTGGCTGCTTATTAAGGAAATCTCCATGTGTGGAGGGAGAGGGCGGAGAACACCCACCCACACACCACATCCATTATATTAAGCAGAGGGACGTACATAGTTGAGGAATTATCTGACCACATGGTTAAATAACATAATTCAGGCACAAAATTCTTCTTTTCAAAACTGGTAAGTCTCATCTGACTGTCTATTGAAAGAACTTGATGACTAATTCTGTTCTCTGCTTTCTTTGGAGTATTATGAAGTTAGTACCACACCGCAGTTTTTATAAAATTTGAAATCGGTCACATAAATGATTAGAAAAACAACATCTCTTAGTTAAGATATTATCATTTTTAACCATAATAAGCATTGCAAATTACTTTTGCACCTAAAGACTTGAAAACACTGATATTTTTACCTAATAGCTTAAACTCATGGATCATCTAGAGCTCAGAAAGAAAGAGACTCAATGTATGTAACAGTTTCCTAGGTAGGAAAATTCTAGAGTATATTAGAAGTAGATTATATTTTTTAACAGAAAGCTAAATGAATCATTGATAAAATGGGAGGGGGGGATGAACAAATGAACAAAAGAATCCTGACAAAAATGCCATGGAAACAGTGTGAGAGGGAAAGCAAACAACCTGGGTCCATAAATTTCAAATATTATCGTTTTGAAAAGGGGCCTAGTGGTCTCTTCTGTACGGAGGTGTGCTGCTAACCCAAACATTATGTCCAAACCCCAGCTGCTCCGTAGGCGTGTGCTGGGCAATAGCCTCCTGTGTGATTTACAGACTCAGAGACCCAAAGGAAGGTCAGCTGTGAATCACTTCTGATTCAATGGCAAGGAGGGAGAGAAAGAGAAGGTTTAGGAAGCTTTTCACTCAACTCAGATTTATCGAATATTTACTTTAGTAATTATACTGTTTTGGAACTTAAATAAAACTCGAGGTATCTTGTTATAATGTGCCAAAAAGTCCGAGTCATAGAGATTTTAGGAGATAGAATAGAACCACTCCCTTCCCCCCACAAAGGGTTTTCTAGGTGTCTATGGAAGTAAATCACCAGGTTTGTTTTTCTGTGGAGCTGCCAATGGGTTTCAAACCTTTTACCTTTTGATGAGCAGCCACGTGCAACTCTATTGAACCACTAGGGGTCTTTTTTAAAAAAGATATCTTGGAATGGGAAGGGAGGGAGAGGGAAGCAAAGATTAGTGCATACATTGCTAGGTTGAGCGGAAAGGCCAGATACAATGAGGATTTGATGAGATGTCGTAATGGCGTTGATCAATTATAATTAACGTTCTAAAACAAAATATATGTGAATGATTGAATGAAAACAAATTTTAAAAGATATCAAGATAAAAATAGCTATTAATTTGAAGTAACTTTTGAACTATTCAGTATAGTAGTAGATAAACTAGAAGAAAGCAGAGGTGGAAAGCCCCATCTGCTGGCTACTTTGGTGAAGTACAAAAACTATTTGAATCTCTCTTGACAAAAGTGATGAACATTTTCTTTTCGTCTTTTATGGTGGAACAGAGCAAAATTCCCGGCGTTGGATTTCCAAAGCTGCAAATTTTTGCAGTAGCAAACGGCCACATTTTTTTCCCTCACTGAGCAGCTGTGGGTTTAAACCCTTATTTTTCTTTAATTATTATTATGTTGTTTAATCAGTAGCCAAGTGCTTACTTACAGCCGTCCCCTATGAAGTAGTCTACACTTCCCTATACGGTCACTATGAGTCAAAGTCCAGACAAAGGAAGCTTTACTGAAGCAGACTACCCTGCCTGTCTGCTACAGAGCTGCTGGTTGGTTCGAATCACTGACCTTCCTTCACTTACCAAGTGGTTAACTATTGAAGCACCCATCTTTGGGGGGGGGGAGGGGGAGAGGAGGGCGCCTGTATTTAGTTTTATCTGCTCAATATAGCTACGGAGAATCCAGTAGCTAGAAGTAGAGATACAGGGCCACAGCCACGTCATTTAACACAATCGTCCTGAGGAAATTATCTCGCAAATACAAACATGAAATGCTGCTCCTAACAGCCATGACCGGCATCTGCTCCTATGTACGGTTTACTAATTCAATTGTGCATTGCTTTCCGTCTTAGGGAGCATCCATTCTTCGAATGCTGGAAGATTGGATAACGCCAGAGAAATTTCAAAGGGGATGCCAGGTATGATTTGTACTTTGTTTTCTTCCTCGGTTGCCACCAAGTTGATTCTTGGTGACCTCACGCGAGCTAGAGTATGATTGTGTTCCATGTAGCTTTTAATGGCTGATTTTTCTTAAGAATCACCAGGTATTTCTTATAATGTGCCTTTAGGGAGATGTGCTTCAATCCCAAAGGCAATCACTTCAAATCCACCAGCTGCTCTTCAAGAGAAGGATGGGAAATTTCCTCCTATGCAACTTACTGCCTCTGAAAATCTGCTGGAGGGTCAGCTATGGATCAGTTCTAACTGGATGGCACATAACAACAGCTGGGAGGATTTAAACTCCTAACCTTTGGATAAGCATAGAGGAGCATTACTCATTTCTATCACTTAGAGATTTCTCGTTCCTTTTAGTGATATTAAAAGTAAACAACACAGATATGTGGTTGATGATGTTTATTGGCAACATAAGGTGATTTCATGTACAGTCATATATCTACATTGTGTATGTCAGCCACATTAAGCAGAAGTCTCATAGAAGAATTTTAATAGATGACTTAGTTACAGCTGATATTTTTGTTGTGATATATTGTTAACAGCTTTAGTTTACTTGGCTCCACAATCAACACTCTTGATACCAGCAGTCAGGAAATCAAAAGATGAATTGCACTGGGAAAGTTTGAGCAATGATATATGTCTGGAGACTAAGGTGTGCCTAACCCAGGCTTTGGTCTTCTCAGTTATATGCTATGCAACAGAAAACTGGACAATGACTAGGGAGGATAGAAGGAGAATTGATGCTTTTGAGCTGTGGTGCTGGAGAAGAATATTGAGTATACTGTGGACTGTAAAGAGAACAAACAGGTTCATCCTGGAGAGGTTGAAGCCAGGCTGCTTCTTGGAGGAAATGATTCTGAAGGTCCATCTAACATACTTTGGGCTATTTCAAGGAGGGACCAGTCCTTGGAGAGGATGCTTGGGAGGGTGAAGGGACAGCGCAGGAGGGGAAGAACTTCAATGAGATGGATTGACTCAGTTACTGGAGTTATGGGAGTAGGTGTGTCAGAAACTATGAGGTTGGCTCAGGATAGAGCAGAGTTCAGAGCTGTTGTACATAGGGTCGCTATGAGTTGCAGGTGACTCGACAGCACATAACAACAACAATGAAATGTTAAAATTATCTTCTTACAATGAGTATAAGACATGCTGCTGACTCAACAATGACACCTCTCCAGTGGTTCAAATCCACCAGCCACTCTGGAAAAAATATGGATCATTTCCTCCAGTGCTATGTTCAGCCTCTGAGAAGCCACAGGAGAGTCAGCTGTGATGGCTTGAGTGAATATTTATCTGAAAAATAATTAGTAGCATGGTGCATTATGTATTAGGTTGTCAATTGGGAGGTTAGCAGTCAGTATTCTGCCACTCTATGGGAGAATGGCGAGGTAGTCTGTTCCTGTTAAGATCTCCATGAGTCAAAACAGACTCAAAGGCAGTGAGTTGTTGGTTTATTTTGATGTAGTTAGTGAAAAGAAAAATATGGTTTGCTTCTTTTCAGAAACAGAAATAACAATAAACGTCATAAAGCATTTAACACATCCCACAAACTTATTACTACCTGTGGGTGTTTTGGTTTCATTTTTGTTCATATTGCAGGCTTTAAGCCAATTTTCTCTAGGTCCTGCTTTATCAGAGTAGATAAATGTGTCCCCATAAATACTCATGGAACTCATTTTCACCTAGGATTGGAGATTTCTTTCTATATAGGGAATTCTGGTAGCTGAGGCCATAGGTTGCAGTGGTAAACTAACGTCCATACCTCTGGTGGTTCAGATTCACTAAGAGCTCTGTGGGAGAAAGATGAGCAATTTACTCTTGTGCGATTTATAGCTCCAGAAACCCAGTAGAGTGTTTCTAACATTGTTTAACCTCAGAAACCAAATGGGATATTTCCTAATATTTTGTTTATACTTTTCTGTTTTGCTTCTGGGGAGCTCTGGTGAACTAATGATAGAAGCTGAGGTGCAATCTCAAAAGCATGAGATTCGAATTCATCAACTGCTCTGCAGGAGAAAGATGTGCAGTCTTCTTCCCTGTGGAATTTACTGACTGTGAAAACCTGCTGGAGGGGCAGCTATGGGTTGGTTCCGACTGGACAGCATGCAGCAACAATCACCACCACCTCATCACACCTCCTGTAATGCCCCAGGTTAAGCTGCAACTGTCAGGCTGCTACTGAAGCCTTAGAGCTTCAAAAGCAAGTCGAAGTAGTGCCTGTCAGGCTCTCCCACTTTGAGTGTCCCATCTTTTTCTTGGCACTGTTCCCTCAGATACGTCTATCCCCATGCCTGTAATGTTCACTGTGATATCATCTTCACTACACTTCACTCCTAAGTAGATAACATTTAGTGTTCTCTATACACTACCCTGCTTGCTGAAACTGAAGAGGACCTGAAGCACCTGCTGCAGAGGATCAAGGACTGCAGCCTCCGGTATGGATTGAAGTGCGCAACGTCAAGAAGACAAAGATTCTCACCACTGGACCAATTGGCAGCATCAGGATGGATGGTGAAGAGATTGAGATTGTTCACAGCTTTAGTTTGCTTGGCTCCACAGTCAACACTCTTGGCACCAGCAGCCAGGATATTAAAAGGCGCATTGCCATGGGAAAGTCTGCTGTTAGGGACCTCTCCAAACTACTGAAGAGCAATGGTGTCTCTCTGGAGTCTGAGGTGTGTCTGATACAGGCTATGGTCTTCGCAATCACTTGTTATGCATCAGAGAGTTGGACAATGACCAAGGAGGATAGAAGGAGAATTGATGCCTTTGAGCTGTGGTGCTGGAGAAGAGTATTGAGAATACCATGGACTGCTAGGAAAACAAACAGATTTGTCCTGGAAAGGGTTAAACCAGGTGGCTTCTTGGAGCCAAGGATTCTGAGGCTCCATCTAACATACTTTGGACATGTTGTTAGGAGAGACTGGTCCTTGGAGAGGGACATCATGCTTGGGAGGGTGGAGGGACGGTGCAGGAGAGGAAGGCCCTCTATGAGGTGGATTGATTCAGTGACTGGGATAATTGGGATGGGAGTGTCAGAGACAGTGTGATTGGCACAGGACAGCGCAGAGTTTAGGGCTGTTGTACACAGGGTCGCTATGAGTCGCAAGCGACTCAACGGCACATAACAACAACAACATAATGGTATCACGGTTAAGTACATGACTGCTTTCTGAAAGATCAAGGATTCAAACCCATTCCCTGCTCCATGGGAGGAAGATGTGCCCATCGGCTTCCATGAATAGTTACAGCTTTTGAAACTCTGAGGCTCAGTTCTACTCTGTACTGTAGAGTTGCTATGAGCTGAAATCAACTCAATGGTTGCCTTTTATTTTTAAAAATATATATATTTTAGGGATTCTGGGGGTTGTTTTTTAATACCAGAATAGTCCTTGTGCATGACAGACGATTAAGATGTCCAGCTCGTAAGCAAAAGGTTGATTCCACTCAGAGACACTTTAAAAAAGAACCTGAAAACTTACTTCAAAAATATCTGCTGCTGAAAACCCTAGATTACACAGTTCTTTTCTGGCATATAAGAAGTTGCCATTTAAACTGTGACTTGACAGCAAATGCTTATATAACCATAGCACCAACTTTAAAAAAAAAAGGGGGGCCAGTATTAATGATGCCATAAACCCTCTTGAAATCAATACCAAAATCACACCCACTGCCTTTAAGTAGATTCCATCTAGCAAGTCTCCATCAGATGTCCAAAGCTGAATTCTAATGCAAAGAGTCTGACAGTCTTTTTCTATGAAGCAGCTTGTGGACTTAAACCACTGACTTTTTGATTATAAAAATTAAGAGCATTTAGAAAATTTTTAGGCGTGCATTTGGTACCTATGATCTTTTCCCCCCACTAATAAAATATTCTGTGTGGATGTAGGTGCCAATGGGGAAGCAATACGCCTATGCTTAGATGTACCAAGCAATTTTCCATGAGTTGCAATCTCAGAATTTCATCATATTTTCTCTCATGGTAAGCAATTTCAGTGAGAAACTCTGCCATCTACATCTTCATGCATACTCTAGTTCCTCATAGAATACATATATATATAATGATTAGGAAATGCATCCTAAACACATGATTGAGTAATCTAGAATAAATAGCATTTAATCTAGAAATTATTTGGCAAAGGTAATTACAGACTCCTTTCATGCATGAAGCTCTGGAGCTCCTAAAGGCTACTTTGGGTTGAATCTCTTGTCTTGTTATGAATCCTTCACTGTGAACAAAGCACAGTGGAATTCTGGGAAGATGAGCATTACCCGAGCAAAGAGTTCAAATCGAATGTTCAAAGAGCTGGAGTTGGAAAATCAAAAGGACCAAACTTGACATTTCTTAAGCTGAAGGAAATAAAGAACAAATTCAAGCCTCAAGTTACAATACTTAAGGATGCAATAGGCAGAATATTAAATGATCCAGAAAGAATTAAAAGAAGATGGAAGGAGCATACAGAGTCACCGTACAAAAAGAATTAGCTGACACGGAAGAATTTCATGATTAAGAGGCAATAGAGATGAAGAACAAAGTTCAAACTACTCTGAAAGAATTGGCAAAAAACAAAAGCCCTAGAATTGTTGAAATACCAGCTGCCATATCAACAAATCGATGCTGCCGTGGATGTGCTCACCAATTTGTGGCAAGAAATCTGGAGGACAACTATCTGGCCCACTGACTGGAAGAGATCCGTATTTATTTCCTTTCTAATAAAAGATGACCTGACAGAATATGGAAATTATATAACTACGTCACTAAAATCACATACAAGAAAAATCTTGCTGAAGGTTATCCAAAAATGACTGGAATGGTACAATGGCAGAGAACTCAAAAAAATACAATCTGGTTTTAGAAGAAGCCATGACACTAGAGACATTATAACCGATGTCACATGGATTTTGGCCAAAACAAGGTATACCAGAGGAATGTCGATCTGTGTTTTTCATTGACACAGGCATT